AAAATAAAAACCACGTTGAAATGTATGTTAAATTATTTATTGATTGGTACATTCAGAGGACTGCCGTTTAATTATCTTGTATTTAAATTGTTTTTTTTAATTATTATCAAACATATAATTTTGTTTCTCCAAAGAAAGAATATAAAACTTTCCATAAAAAAATCATCTTTTGAGGTAGAGGGAAAATGTCTTATGATAATCAATCATAATTCACAACATGGGTTGACTGAAAGGACAAAATAAGATAAGGATAAGTTTCTTTTTAGAACAAAACCACATTGTTGTATCCACCGCGGGGAATCGAGTCCCGGACTTTAGCGTAAGGCCAGAACTGTTTATGCAATATTTCCTTTTGGAGTAAAGTAGTGTTTTAATACTAACCCCCACCCCCACCTCATTGTTCAGTGGTAAATCGGGTTCCGAAACCCGTGAATACGGCACAAACAAACAAGCGTCCCCTTGTAACGGTCTATACCGAACACGACACTACAGTCAGGGTTCAACAACAAAAAACATAATTCATTCACAATAACAACACTTAGAAATAAATTCAACACAGTTAATAAACAAATACCTGGCTGGGACTTCACACCAATATTAGTAAACAATTTATCATAAATATTAATAAATCGAATTAAAGAATCAGAGAGAAAAAGAAATCCCAATTAAAAAAAAACACAGCAAATACAATATTCCAAAAATACCTTTCAATAACAATATCGAGAGATAAACAACAATACCCCCCCCCCCATTTCTCCCTGTTAGTGAAGCTTCTGGCAGGGTATTTATTCACAGAATAGGTCACGAGAGAACAACCTCATGTGATTATAAATTTGCATACTCTTCTGCTACATTAATAGTATCGTACTTCACCGCTAGGGAACTGGTGTCAGTTTCATCATACACACATATATTTACTCAAAATAAAAATGATTACGTAGAAGGTGAGTTGGCGTTTTAATGTAACTAAAAATTCGTTGATAAACTAAACGATAGAACCAAAAATAATACCATTATGAAAGTTTTGAACATAGCCTAAATGTATTTTCAGTATATAATCTTATTATACTCATTACTTTTTAAAACTGGTATTGCTATTATGTTTTGTTTTTGAACAATCTTAAATGTAATTTTCAATGAATAAATAAAATTATTAAAGAAAAAAAGTTTCACGATGTATAAGAACATTTTGAATAAATCTTTCATAACTCAGAAACTAGAGGTGGTCAATAATTTTCAATATGATTTATGGAATCAGCATTGTTAAATTACTCAGGAACAGTTGCGTTTTTCTAGCAGCAGAGAATATTTTGTTGTTGTTGTTGCCCGGTGATATAGAAGGTATTGTTGCCTGGCGTAATGATCAAAATGGAAACAAACTAAATGACTACAGATGAATGAGAGCTGGACTAGGCCTATTGATTAACGTGTCGAGCTGCGAATCAAAGGTTCGAGACGTGACGTACTTTCAGTCGTGAGCGAGTAACAGTTCAATCCAGTTACAGGATTTGAAGAGCTGGCAACAACCCTTGTGGCGGTTGGTGCTGCTGGCTGGCTGCCTTCCCTCTGGTCAGCAGTTCAAAATTAGGTACTATTGTATCAGAATCCTGAGAGTCTCCGACCTAGCTGTTTAGCACTAGGTACCGTTCAGTTCCAATTATTGACCCATTAGTATAAAACTGTTCGATAATACAGGGTATAACCAGACAGTTTCTAAGAAATCGTGAAATCAAAGCTGAAATGAGAATGTATATGTGTTTACCTGACTTGACATTTTTACCGATTCGGTGATCAATCAGTGTCGAGATATATAGACGTGCTTGTCTCCTCAAAATAGTGTTTATGTATCTTTAAACTTGAAACACCTTCGTACTTAAATGAACCAAAAATATACTGATAATTTTTTGTTATACTTTTGTAGGCTGTGAGGTAGAAAATGGTATTTTTTATATTATTATGGTTGTGTTTATCCTTCATTTAATATTTCCTTGTACTCAATCAGAAAGAATTTTCTGCCTTAAAATCATTGTAACTGGTTGTCAAAAATTTCTTAGGAAATCACAGAGATGAAAACTATACTGTGGTGATTGGTGATATGATGGAGAAGTACATAAAAATGGGGTCTAGGATGTCACTAGAGATGTACTTCTTACACTCCCATTTAGACTTCTTTCAAAATGATCTAGGTGCAGTGAGAGATGACTCTGACCAAGATATTACTACAATGGAACACCAATATCAAGGACGATGGAATCCTGCGATGAAGGGAGATTACTGTTGGTTCTAACAGCGTGAAACTGAGAACATACACAAAAGGCGCAACAAGTCAAGCAGATATTTTGTTGTTTCAAAATCATCATCCATCAACACTTCTCAAATCTGTGGCTCAACAAAGATACCTCCTTTTATTTTTGCTTCACTGATTTTTGGAAACTTGTCAGACAGATATCTGAATCCGTTATCAAATTTGTTCATTTCTTTTACAAAATTCTTCCTGAGACTCAATTTAATATGAAGTGGGGCAGACACAAATTTTGAGAATTCACTAAAGGTTGCTACTAAATATTATATTTTCCTGGTATGTAATCTTCTTTTATTGTCCATTTTTTCTTTTTTAAAATCATTTTTATCATTTCCGCTGTCCCAGAGACTCACTCTGCATGCTTAGCAGGAGTGCAATAACTTTCAGATCACCACATATGTCCCACCTGTGGTGATCATATTTGATGGTCACAAGTAGAATCTGCATGATTTTATAAGTTTCTTTCATGTTCACAGCATGAACAACAGGAATAGATGGCTTAGTGTTCCCATTGTGTAAAAGTACAGCTTTCAAACTAACTACAGATGAGTCGATAAAAAAGTCTCCATTCTTGGGATGATTTTCCGTACTTGATTTAACCCACTAGTGCATCAACATTTGTACAGAAACACAATGTATCTTGCATGATGTAGTGAGAAGCAGAACTTTGATAGCAACTTCGGTAAATTGAAACTCTTGTTCTTGGAGTTAATAAATTCCATTGCTGTAAACGAGAGCCAAGAAGTTCCCCATGCTGCTCTGATAGAGACAAGTCATTAATCAAATCATTTAGCTCTTCTTGTGTGATCAGATGAGGCAGGTTATGTTGCCACAGCAATAGAATTACCAGATGAAGAGGATGAAGATGATCTTCCCAGGATAATTCTCCTGTTTTCCAATTCGCTGGTGGATGTGGCACTGGAAGACCATCCTCATGAGGTACTGGTTTCATTGCAGATTCAATACATGGATATGTAATGCATTGTTTAGTTTTGTCTGAATATCCAGAAACATTAGTCACGCAAAACTAACAGTCAGTAAGATGATCTTTTGGCTGACACCATATCATTCGAACTGCAAATGGTATACTTACTCTTTTCTTATTCATCCACTGTGTCAAGTCAAATGTACAAACTGTACAACACACATGTGGAGCCCAATGTTTTTCCTGGTCACCAATTTTACACCCAAAATAGTGGTAGTAAGCTACGTTTACCTTAGGTGTAACGTTTTTCTTTCGTGAAACTGTAATATATTTCCCACAAATGCAGCAGAAACTGTTTTGGTAATTTTGCACTTTTGGACTTCACTTGAACTGGAGGCAACCAGCATTTTAAATGACTTTCTAAAATATTTGTTTGTTTGTTTTGAATTTCGCGCAAAGCTACACGAGGGCTATCTGCGCTAGCCATTCCTAATTTAGCAGTGGAAAGGCAGCTAGTCATCACCACCCACCGCCAACTCTTGGGCTACTACGAATAGTGGGATTGACCGTCACTTTATAACGCCCCCACGGCTGAAAGGGCGAGCATGTTTGGTGTGACGAGGATTCGAACCCGCGACTGATTAGAATACATTTCCCTAATTAAATTGTAAATCTTACCAACCACCGTCCACACTAAGGGATTGACTCTAACTCTTAAAACGCACCAACAGCTTAAATTGCGAGAAATATTATGTTGTTTCGCACGGATTCAATCCCAGCTCGCCAGATCCGAAATCCAGAGCTCTGCCACAGGGCTCGATGGATTGAACTCATATCAATGATGTCTTTGATGTGTTTTCTTGCCGCCAGGTAGCCTTGTAATGATGTTTTACAAGCTACGATAATTGAAAGAACGTAATCACGTGTTTTTCTTCTAGTCTACGTGTAGCCTGATTTTAGTAACCTATTACCAAATTAGATTTTGTTACAACATATACAGAATATTATAAATACCATCAGAAATTTAACTAATGTTTCTAAACTATGTATTGCGTGTATAGTTTCTGATTGAATTATATCAATATGTTAGAGAAATATCATTCGTGATATCAACGTATTTAAGGAAATTAGGTAGGGAAAAAAAATTGGGCGAAGAGAAATACGAATTTCGGTCCAGGTTTAAAAATTCGAAGTTATTTACGTGCGTTGAAATCCAGTCGATAAAACTTATTACTGCTGGAACGTGTGTGTGTGTGGTGAAAAAAAATCGATTTTCAGTGCGTTACTAGGATTTGTCGATCGTTACGAAGTTCACTGCTATAAGAGGTTAACAGATCAAAACACCTGTAAATCAAATATGTGCCAACCTCCCCCCCCCAAAAAAAACGAAGATTCTTTACTGTCTAGTTATTCGTCCATCTATCTATCTATCATATTGATCTGGATGAACACGTTCACGGATATTTCTTAATTTACAAAATAAAATAAAAAAAGTTTAATACTTATCAAAGGTTCTTGGATAGCCACTTATACGTCCAAAATCCAGACACTAATGTGACAATCTATGGGACCTTATGGAGAAATAGGAAACCAGAAATTTCTGTCCTTTTTAAAGACACTTATTGTGTTTTAAGTTTTGTGCTCGGTTTCGAAGTATTTTGTACAAAATGTTATGCTAAATAATTAATATTAATTAATAACTTAACGTAGGCCTAAAATGTTGTACTCTTATCATTAACAAACACTGTTTGTCTCATTTTTGTCTCGCACTACAGTACTTTCAAACCAACAAATAGCTTGGGAGTAACATAGAAACATATATAACAGAAAACGAATAATCATCAAATGTGCGCTCTGGTGGATGAACAGTTAGGCTTAGATGCTCGGTATTTTCTGACCGAACTTCAGGCTGATTCATGTGTAGCGTAACGACTGGTAAAAGTAGGTTTGGCATAAGGTTTAATATTATTAGGACAGAGTGTCCGAAAGTTTTCTTTTTGTTTACGTATAACCCTGTTTTATGTGGTTCTATTTTTATTCTTGCTTAGGCTACGCTCAAAATGATGACGTGAAGGAAACAATCGATTACAAGTCGACAAACGAAGCGATCTTATACTCACCATCGTGTCCGTCTATTAGTTCCAGAGACAGCGTAGAAAAAGAAACTTACGGCGTCGATTTCTCGAAGGTGAAAGACGACCTCGACCTCGGGTCACGGAGCTACTGTGGCGACTGGGAGTGTTCTCAGAGTTCAAATTCTAGCGCTGATAGCCACTCCGTCTCTTACAGCTACAAAGCATTCCTTATCAGTGACGGGAGATCTCGTAGAAGGAAAGAATCGTCCAAACAGAACGACGAACAGACGACACGGCCCCGCTACACGTGTTCCGAGTGTGGGAAGCACTACGCCACGTCATCTAACCTGTCCCGTCACAAACAGACCCACCGCAGCCCAGAGTCCCAGCTGGCCAAGAAGTGTCCAACCTGTGGTAAGATCTACGTCAGCATGCCGGCCCTGGCCATGCACGTGCTAACACACAGTCTTAGTCACAAGTGCTCGGTGTGCGGAAAAGCCTTCTCTCGACCTTGGTTACTGCAGGGCCACCTCCGATCTCACACGGGAGAAAAGCCGTTCGGCTGTGCCCACTGCGGCAAGGCCTTCGCTGACCGGTCCAACTTACGGGCTCACATGCAGACGCACTCCAGTTTCAAACACTTCAGTTGCCAGCGGTGCAACAAGACCTTTGCTCTCAAGTCCTACCTGAACAAACACTACGAGTCCTCCTGCTTCAAAGACTCTAAGGACTGTTGAAGTCAAGAGCCTTAACAAACTTTATACGCGGGGATCGAACACAGAATTTTATCATTAGTAGCCCTCAAGCTTATTGTGAGAGAAGAGGACGCCAAGCAAGTACAACCCAGAAATGATTGGAAAGTGTGTTCTTTACATAAAACAGTAAACGAACGTTTGGAAACACATAAACAGTTTGTGAGACGATACTCAGCCAATAACTACAAAAATGTTTTGACCCTAGTCCGATGATACATTTGTTATTTGTAGACAAGGGCGCTCTCTTTTTTTTTTTTTTTTACAATGTTGTGAAATTGAATTAATGCTCAACATCTCTACGTTTGTTAATCTAAGTGACGATTTTAAAGTCGGAGAAATATTTTAGAAGTGTAATCAACGAAGCATATTCGATGTTTTGTTGAAGTAGCGAATAAGGCCATTCCAGTAAGGATTAGCAATAACTGAACTGATCTTATAATTTTCACACATAAAAAAAAAAAAAAAAAGATAAATAGGCTTTACGTTAATTGTTCAGGGAATGTATAAATCCGTGTTCATTGTTAAACAAAACAGAACGATTGCGCAGTACAGCCAACAATATCCAGTTCAAAAAAAACAATTCTTCGGGAGCTTTGTGCGGTGCGTTTCGCTACGTTTGCTAGGTTGTGAGCTTGAGTTAACAGTGGACGTAGTAACTGACACGCCCACAAAACGTCACTGGCTGCGTTTCTGTTTTCTCAACTATTTGTTAGAATAATGGCAAACTGAAATATTTTCAACTCGGGTTTGTTACCAGACTAACACTTCCGCTGATTCGTTAAATGAATTCCCTATTTGGCTTCACTAAACTAATACTTTCGCTGATTCGTCAGAAAATACGTCAATAAAGTCCCTGTCTGGGTCCACTAAACTAATACTTCCGCTGATTCGTTAATGAATTCCCTATTTGGCTTCACTAAACTAACACTTCTGCTGATTCGTCAGTCGGTAGCCAATAAAAATCCGTGCGGAACTCTACTAGACTATCACTTCCGTTGGAACTTTTAAGAAATAACGAGCAGGAAACGTGAGCTACACATAGAAAGTAGATTAGACATGCAGCTGTTTCATACGGCCTTCACAAGTGCCTGTGTATACAGGCCTCCCAGTGAATCCTTTGAAAACATAAACTTGAAGATAAACCTATATTTCAAACCATGACCATTGAAATAAGATTTAGAACGTTGTAGTATAATGTTACCATAATCAACAAATAAGAATCCACAAAAATGTAAAGATTTTGCGGCAGGGGAGGTGATAATTCAAACTTCATTAGCAGTATTATAACTAAGTGGGAGGGGAGGGGATAATTCAAACTTCATTAGCAGTATTATAACTAACTCGCGTGGTACAAATCTCTGTCGAACCACATAAACTAACAGATATTTTTCTTCTTGGAAATTTCACAGAGGGGGCATATAAAAATTAACATTCATAGTTAATCAAATACAAACACTTTTAAATATACTTAACTATTTATTTGTTTGTTTTTTTTTGTTAAGCACAAAGCTACACAATGGGTTATCTGTGCTGTACCCACCGCAGGTATCGAATCCTGCGTAACCTTCAGACTTACCGCCGAGCCACCAGGGGGGGTTCGAAATGTAAGAATTTTAAATGACCGTTGTTACCGTCCAACTTGCAAAATAAGGAGAGTTTAAACATCGTATGTATTAGGAATAACACGTGGATTTGACGTTATACTGGCGAGCAGTTATTTTATATTGAGAACAGAGAATTACAAGAACGTCGTTAACGTTGCAGTTGAAATGTATAGGAAAGAGAGAGGTTAGGGAATTGATGCGAGTGACTTTGATAGACGATCTAGTTATGTGGGTGTGTTTTCTGGGCGTTTTCTGCCTCAATTTCGGCTTCACACCACGTTTCGGGCTCCGTGAAGGATGCTGGACTTCGAAAACAACCCGAAACGTCGCATTAACACTAAATCAAAATAAGAAAGAAAAAACTGAGTAAATAACTTTTTTTAAAAGATGGGTTTGGGTAAGGTATTTTAACGAGAAATTGATTCTAAATTTACGAGTTGGATTTGTAAGTCCGTGTTCGAGAAAAAAAAACACACGAATATGTAAAATCAGTGGCTTCGTCTTATTTAATTGGTATTTTCAACTTGAGTCAACAATATTCGTTCCTGACAAAATTTTATCCAGCTTTTGAACAGTATAACGGGTTCGACGGTCATTCTTATAACGCACAACTGCTGACTGACAGTACGGCGCGAGTTCAATGGGGATTAATTATTTCCACCACCCCCTTTTTTTAATTTAACGTTATGAAAATCAACAGCTTTCAATATAGTTATATCATATGAAACGTGTTTATGTGAACACTTACAAAAGAGCATGCTAACCCTAAAACATTCTAAGATATCTGATGAGATGTCCCTAATTTTAAAGTGGTAGCCTAGAAGATAGACACTTAGTCAACACCACCCACTTTCTAACCCTTTAGCTACTCTTTTACCAAAGTATAGTTGGATTTAACTCTCAAATATTATACCCCCCACCTCCTCACAGGTGAAAGAACGAGCATGTTCGGTGATGGGATTCAAACCCGCGACCCACATATTGCAAGTCGAGTGCTCTAACCTCCAGACCATGCCAGGACCCTTAAGACTCAATGTACACTAGAGATATTTGAGAAACAAAAGCCTCTAGCAGACAAACATATACAAAATGTTTCCAGAAAATTCCTTACTAGTTGTGGCAGCCATTTTGTGACAAGGGGGTTTTTTTTTGTTTTTTTTCCTTTTACAAAACTCACTTCAGAGAACTGATAAAAAACGATATAAAAATATATAGTGAATTCCAGTAGTAATTATGGGATTAATTGAAATATTGACGGTATGTTTTTTTTGTTTTAATAATTTCACGTGATTCGTGTTATTAGAAACCCTGTAATCAAACACAGTCACGGACCCAAAAGCAATATGGCGCATAAGTGGCTTAGAAACATGTGCTCCCAATCGATAATCATAGAATTAAACATAATCAATAAAAATGTGACTATTTGTAAAGAGGTTATGCTTACTACGACGGACATTTTAGTTAGGCCTAAACCCAATCAATAATCATAGAATTAAACATAATCAATAAAAATGTGACTATTTGTAAAGAGGTTATGCTTACTACGACGGACATTTTAGTTAGGCCTAAACCCAATCAATAATCATAGAATTAAACATAATCAATAAAAATGTGACTATTTGTAAAGAGGTTATGCTTACTACGACGGACATTTTAGTTAGGCCTAAAGAATGGAAAGATAAAGTGAGTATTTAAACAAAATAATATAACTTTATAAGTTCTTTGAGTCCCATGACCGTTTACGACCGATAGGGGACTCTAGATGTTGATGCATCATTGGTGATTCTCGAGCAGATTTACCAGGTGGCGCCCATCTCCTCTCTAGGTAGCCGTGCCTAATTTAACAATGAAAGACTAGAGGGAAAGCAGATAGTCTTTGGCTACTCTTGTACCAACGAATAGTAGGATTGACGCTAGCATTATAAAGCCCCCACGGTTGAACGGGCGAGTATGTTTGGTTGGACGGGGATTCGAACCCGCGATTCTCAGATTTCGAGTCGAACGCCCTAACCACCAGGCCACAATGGGCCAATATAGTGATAGGTTGTGTATAATTTTGATTGAAAATGTATAAAAAAAACAGGTGATATATAATATAATATTGAGCAGCGGTGACTAACTTTGTCGAACGATGAAGCGGGACAAAACACTGTTGTAAGGTTTGGGGAAACAAAATACGGTTGAAAATTTCATCTGTGTCTCATAGTTAAGAGGCTCTAGCAAACAAATGAAACGTCATTTTAGTGTTAGGTTCATCTGTGTCTCATAGTTAAGAAGCTCTAGCAAACATAGGAAACGTGATTTTAGTGTTAATGTTCATCTGTGTCTCATAGTTAAGAAACTCTAGCAAACAAAGGAAACGTCATTTTAGTGTTAGGTTCATCTGTGTCTCATAGTTAAGAAACTCTAGCAAGCAAAGGAAACGTCATTTTAGTGTTAGGTTCATCTGTGTCTCATAGTTAAGAAGCTCTAGCAAACAAATGAAACGTCATTTTAGTGTTATGTTCATCTGTATCTCATAGTTAAGAAGCTCTAGCAAACAAATGAAACGTTATTTTAGTGTTATGTTCATCTGTGTCTCATAGTTAAGAAGCTCTAGCAAACAAATGAAACGTTATTTTAGTGTTAGGTCATAAAGAACAGCATGCACTGTTTCTAAAGAAAC